CTTTTGTTTATTTTGTTAAGTCGCCTGGCTTAGAGTGTTCACCCCCAGAGGGCAAGATGCTTATCTTTCTAAAAATGTGCTCAGAAGGCCTGCTGACTCATGCCCCAGACTCTCATACACGTATTATTATTATTGTTATTTTTAATTTATTTTAGAGAGAGGAAAGGGGAGGGATAGAGAAAAGCATTGATGGCTTCCTCCCATACACGCCCGAACAGGGATGGCACCTTTTGGTGTAGGGGAAGATGTTCCAACTAGGCCACGAGGGCCAGGAACACACATTATTTTTGAGGGGATTGTTTTGATTGTCTTCTAAGTTTTTCCCTTTAACTTTTCTACCACACCGGTGCACAATCTGCATTACTGAAATAACTTATGCAAAGTAATATGAAACAATGCACCACAGACTAAATATGAGTGCATTTTAAATGATTGAAGTTATTTTTTAAGACATTTTTTCTACTGAGAAATAAAGGAGAAAATGATGATAGCCATTAATGCAGCTTTTTAAAGTGTAACTTTGATAGTAAAAATATGAACACAAAATGGTACAATCTAGGATTTAAGTTTTCAGTGGTCTTTCCCCAACTGTAAAAGTTTGGTCCCTAAAAAACTCTGAGGAATTGAAGACTTTAAGGAAGAACACAAAGAAAGGAACAACAACCATCACTGAACCTATAGGAGATCTTACCAATATTTTTGCATTTACGCCCTGGCTGGTGTGGCACAGGTGGTTTGAGAGTCATCCCTTGCAAAGAAAGATTGCTGTTTGATTCCTGGTCAGGGCACATACCTAGGTTTTGGGTTCAGGCTTGATCCCTGGTGGGGGTGTGTACAGGAGGCAATCAATGTTTCATCAAAGTCTATCTGTCTCTAAAAAAAAAAAATCATTAAAACATATCGTCTGGGGAGGAGATATATATTTTTTTACATTCACTAAAAGTGATAAAGACACACTCTGAATAAAGACCATGCCAATGATATTTATAGGCCTTCAAATAGTAAGAATGGGCACTGTACTATGAGTTCTTATTCACTGCCACTTGTTTGCCAGACTCTAAGAATCTCATTTGCTTAAAGTTCATGTGAGGTTTCTTGTTGTTGTTGCAGATAAAAAACCCTTACTACCTACATTTTAAATATTTGGTATATATTTCTGATTATATTACCTGTGCTTTGAAAGACTGTATTATTGTAAGCAATGTAATATAGGAAGTGAATGTTCCTGTAATCCACTCTTTCGAGATGATCAAGTTTGGTACATATCTACCATATTGGGAAAAATGCCTATTTAACTCGTACTGGATAGAAAGTAGACATTCCTTTTTAATTTTAATTTTTCCCCAGATGCCCCTGCCTTTGTAGCTTTATAATTTGGAGGCACCTCAGCTACCTTGCCTTCTGGATTTGTGGCCTCACAACTGTGTAATTGGATAATGGAGCTAGAAAAACCTTTGAAAACCTTTGTTGAACAATTATTTCTTCATCTGCATCCTGAGCTTTATTTTATTTGTTCTGCCTGTGATAACTTCATGCGGATGAGCCTACTCTCCTTTTTAAAACAGATCCCAGAGACTTGTCTGCTCACACTGCCCAAAGGAATAGACTGAAGGCTGGCCTACTCATCATCAACATCTTATCTTTCCAGAAGCATCACTGCACAAACCTCTACTTTACCCCTGTGTTCATTCCATCCACTTTCTGTCCTTAGTCCTTACTTGTTTCCTTTTACTTATTTACTTTTATAAGAGTCTTGAAATATACCTTTTAAATATTTAAAACAAAGAGATCAACCCAAGGACTTGTATGTATGCATATAAGCATAATCAATGGACACAAAACTCTGGGGGGTGAGGGCATGTATGGAAGTGGGGTTGGGGGCAATGGTAAAACACGTACACACATAATACCTTAATAAAAAATGAAAAAAATAGCCGAAACCGGTTTGGCTCAGTGGAAGAGCGTCGGTCTGCGGACTGAAGGGTCCCAGGTTTGATTCAGGTCAAGGGCATGTACATTGGTTGCAGGCATGTTCCCGGTGGGGGGTGTGCAGGAGGCAGCTGGTCGATGTTTCTCTCTCATCGACGTTTCTAGCTCTCTATTCCTCTCTCTCTCTCTCTGTAAAAAATCAATAAAATATACTTTAAAAAAATGAAAAAAAATAAACATTTAAAACAATATTTTTATTGATTTCAGAGAGGAAGGGACAGATAGAAATATAGAAACATAGTGATAGGAATCATTGATCAACGGCCTCCTGCACATTCCTCACTGGGGATTGAGCCTGTAACCTGGGCATGTGCCTTGACCGGAATTGAACTGTGACCTCTTGGTTCATGGGTCAATGCTCAACCATTGAGCCATGTTGGCTGGGATATACCTTTTTAAAAAATATATTGATTAGAGAGATAAAGAAAAAAACCACATTGATTGGTTGGTCCATTTATTTATGCATTCATTGGTAGATTCCAGTATGTGTCCTGCCTGGGGATGGATAGCCTAATGGGATGAGCTCTAACCACTGAACAACCCAACCAGGGCCCGAGCAGGAGTGACCTTTAAAATACCTCTCCAGCAGAAGTGACTTGCAGTTTGCACACACTGACACTTAAATTCCCCCAAGTGTTGAAGAAGTGAACTTAATTATCCAGGTGCAAAATTTTATGCACATTTGGAAATGGCTGTTCTAATTTCAGCATGGAACCCAGATAAACATTTGGATCAATAATCAAATTTTTCAAAGTTTAAAGTGTCAAGTGTAGCTGGGACCGGTTTGGCTCAGTGGATGGAGCGTCGGCCTGCGGACTGAAAGGTCCCGGGTTTGATTCCGGGCAAGGGCATGTACCTTGGTTGCAGGCGCATCCCCGGTAGGGGGTGTGCAGGAGGCAGCTGATCAATGATTCTCTCTCATCGATGTTTCTAACTTTCTATCCCTCTCTCTTTATCTCTGTGAAAAATCAATAAAATATATTAAAAAAATAAAGTGTCAAGTGTAGAAAATATGAAAATGGGTGAGTAATAATAAACTTTAAGTATGCCACTTCATACATTTATCATTTGTCACAGATGTCACATTTTAATGCTTAATAGACACTTTTAATTTATAGTTTGCATTTACCAAGTGAGCTTCTCCCCAGGCTCAAAATTCCCTTGGCTGTAAATTTAGTCAACTTGGAAAAGCCAGTAGGGAATAAGCCCTGAAGGAATTCAAATGACTCTCTTATTACAGTCGTCATTTCAGCCATTTCAAAAAATGATGATTTAATCAGAATAGACTCTGGAAATCAAATTGTGTATTTTGCTCAAATAGGAAACACAATTTAAAGTTTATTCTGGCTATTGGGAGGAAGGGAAGGTGAGCAACATAGCTGGAAAAACCAACACAAACTGTGTTGTGAGGATGAAAATAAATAATAGGAAGTGCCCAGTGGCCTACAGTTCATGCTTATTAAATGAGTTTACCCTAATTCTTTTGCAGATGGTTTGATAGGGTATTTCCCCCCAATTCAAACCAAAGATGTTTTCAACTACCATGCTAATCTGGAGAGAAATCACATAGTCCAGTTCCTCCCTGTTCAACAAGAAACCCAGAATCCTACATTTGTAGCCAGCCTTCCTTCCAGAGACCGCACGTTTCAGATCTCTGATTCTAGCTCCGTTTTTCTTTTGCCATGATTAAGTACTTGATATTTTTTTGTCTGTCCATCACAGCACATTGAACATTAAAATCAAGCCGCTGGGTTTGCACGGGCTTATATCTCAGCACTTTAGTCCACATTGCCACCGTTATTTTTGTGTGCCAGCTGTATCAGCCCTTTCTGGATCATTTTATTAAAATGACGTTGTAATAACAAAACAGTCGGTGGAACAGGATTATCTCGAAGGTGCAGCGCATCTCTCCTTCGCAGACACGCGTTTCAACAGGAGAACCCGGGACGGGGCCGGCGGAGCCTGTCAGGCTCCGGGCGCGCGCGCGGCCGCAGCCTCCGCCTCCCTCCTCCTCCCCCGCGGCCGCCGCGCACGCCCGGACCCGGACCCAGACCCGGATCCCGGATTCTCCGCTCCGCAGCTTGGCGCTCTCCCGAGCCGGAGCCGGAGCCGGAGCCGGAGCCGCGGCGTCAGAGGAGGAGGCCGCGGGGGCGGGGGAGGGGCAGTGAGGTCAGCGGCGGCGGCGCGGCCAGGCGGCGCATGCGCGGAGCCAGCCCCGTGAGTGGCAGCGGCGGCGCGCGGGGGGCGGCGGGCCGGGGTGGGGGAGGGGGCGGGGGCGGGAGGAGGGGGAGCGCGCGGCGGCGGCCGTGTGTGGGCGAGACGACGGCGAGGGTGCGAGGTCTGTGGTGCCGGGCGCCCGAGCGACGCCGGCGCGGGCCTCGCGCGACGGCCACGGTGTGTGGTGCACGCACAGCCGCAAACTTCCTCCTCCCCGGCCCGGGAGGCGGGCGCTGAGGCCGGCGCCGGCGGGCCCGGAACCCACCACAACAACTGGAGCAGCTGTCAAAACTTCGCCGCCGCCGCCCGGCCCGCCGCGGCCGCGGGGGAGGGGCAGCCGCGGCCGCGACCCCCGCCCGCCCGGCTCCCGCCCGCCCGCCCGCGTCTCCTCCCCGCCGCGGCGCCTGGGGGCGGGGCGCGGGCGGAGACCCCGCCACCGCCCCTCACCCTCCGCGTCCCCGCCGCGCCCGCACCGGCCCCCGCCCGGCCCCGCCCGCGCCCGCACCTCCCCGCCCGCGGCCCCTCCCTCGCGCCGCCCGCCCCGCCCGCCGCCCCCCGCCCGGCCCCTGCGCGCCGAGCTGCGCGCGCCCGCGCCTATGTGTGTGAGTGCGTGTCCTGCTCGCCCCATGCTGCCGCCGCGCCCGGTACCTGCCGCCGCGCCCGGGGCTGCGGGAGATGCGAGAGGCTGAGCCGCGGAGGAGGAACCCGAGCGGCGGCGGCGGCGGCCGCGGCGGCGGCGGGAGGAGCCCCCCAGGAGGAGGACCGGAATCCATGTGTCTTTCCTGGTGACTAGGATGTCGTCGGAGGAGGACAAGGGCGCGGAGCAGCCGCAGCCGCCGCCACAACCCCCCGAGGAGCCGGGAGCCCCGGCCCCGAGCCCCGCAGCCGCAGACAAAAGACCTCGGGGCCGGCCTCGCAAAGATGGCGCTTCCCCTTTCCAGAGAGCCAGAAAGAAGTAAGTTGAGTGCGAGCCTCCAGGCCGGGAGCCAGCCGCCGCGCCGGGCCGGAGCTGTCACCGCGCGCCCGCCCGCCGCCCCCGCGCCCGCGGGTGGGGGTGGGGCCGCCGCGCGCCCCCGGCCGGCGCCCGCCCCGCGCCCCGCGCCCCGCGGCCTCCCGCACCCCCGCCGCCGGGGCGGCCGCCGCCGCACTTTACTTTTTAGTTGTTCCGGGCGCCGCGCTCGCCGGAGCCTCTCTCGGGCGACCCGTGTCGCGGACGCCGCCCGGGCTCCCCGGCTTTTAAAAAGCCAACACGGCGCACACCTGGCGGAGCCGGCGAGTTTATTGTCAACTACAAAGCGGCCCGGGCCGCCGGCCGAGCTGTCAAACGCCGCGGCCAGGTGGTCCCCGGCGGGGGTGGGGTGGGAGCGGGGGGCAGCGCGCCGGGCGCCGCTCTCCTTTGTCACCTCCAACTTTCCTGGCCCCCAGACCTGCGCTCTCCTTCCTTCTCCCTCTACTAGGAAGTCGTTTGACTTTTGCCTCCCCTCCCCCCGGAGCCGCACTGCCCGGCGCCGGTGCGGGCTGCGCGTGCGGGAAGTTTGGGGAGCGGCCGGCCGCGCCGAGCACGTTCGCTCCCGGGACGCGGGCGAAGCGCTGCCCGACCTCCGTGGCGGTGGCCGGGCCGGGGACAGCCTGGCTGGCTCTGAGCGCGCCCGGTACCGTGGACTCCATTGCTCGCGGTGGCTGCACGGCAACTTTGCCTGGAAATGAAGACTCGCGTTTTGGTGCCAGGGAGTCGCTCAGCCCTTGTGACTCCTGAGGTGCCATGGAAGGTCTGTGGCTGCTCCGAAGTTGTAGGATCGTGTGCGTCGCGTATTCCTTTCATTGTACGGTGGGTGGACTACCCAACTGTTGGCAGTGGAAGGGTAGGGTGCACGGATGGAGGAAGGCTGCGCATTTATGGATACCCTTGTGTTGTTGTCCCGGCGAATTCATTTAGTAATATTGTTGCGTTTGCTGATACAGAGTTAAAATAGTAGTGTTAAGTGAGGCGGAGCAGAGCGGGGTTATGGGAAGCTCAGGAAGCTTTCGACTGGAGTGCTTTCCCCCTCTGCTTTCCTTTGGCTGTAAAGACGACTCGGGGCCTTCATCTTGCCTCCATATTTTATTGCCAGCTCTCACTGAGCTGTGACAGATCGACTGGGAAACAAGTACAAGATGTACATATTATTGCATTAGCTTCTTTGTGATACCGAGTTAGGATTTAGTATGCCATTTGCTTTGTACTGTCTGCTATAAAATCCCATTATTACTTCTGTATTAATTGAAATTTGAAGAAGGAAGGTAGAGTTTTGAATAACTTTAAACTTCTTTGCTACTTTTCTTATCCATAGCAACACATATTAAGCCATATTAGGGTTTTAATTTGATTGTTTCCCATTTCGTTATTTGGAAAGCACTTTTTGGCTTCTTTCTGAACATTAATTTGGGACTGTTATATGTTTTATGTTTGTTTTTAAGTTTTTACTCTAGAAAGAGCTCACCTTTCTGTGTCAAGCCCCTCTTCCATACAAATGGCAAGTGTGTGGGGGCACAGGCGCTTCCCCTGAGATGGAAATGAGCTCACTTTTATTGCAACTTCCAGTACAGCAGAAGGAAGGCTGATTTGGGGTATTACAACTTCACTACTTTAATTTTTTTTTACTATTTTAATTTCTACAGAATATACCCATCTAACAGCATGGGAAATGTTTAGAACAATTTTAACTCTCAAGAGAGTTTTCTCTTTTAGATTTGAAATTAACTTGTGGTAACTTGGATGGTCCCAAACTTTTTAGTGAATTCTTTAAAATTAGGTACCTTTTGAAGAGGATGGACTCTCCAATTGTTTTAAAGAGAAATATAAATGGAAACCACTGAGTGAAGTGAAAGCAAGGAGAAGGATTTTCAGTTGGGTAGTTCTCACAGTATTAGGGTATGTACTTGCAGAACAGACCCTGCATTTCATTGAGTATTGAAGACCCTGAAAGTGAAACTGATTCGTAGCAAATGTAAATTAGATTGTAAATGCTAAAAGTATTTGCAAATTAATTATGTAAGAAATTAAAATTAATATTCTTTGTGAAATGCGCTGGAAATAGAGGTTTTTAAATTGTCAGTGTTATTTTATTTTTTAAAATATATTTTATTGATTTTACACAGAGAGGAATTGAGAGGGACAGAGTTAGAAACGTCAATGAGAGAGAAACACCGACGAGCTGCCTCTTGTACACCCCCCACTGGGGATGTGCCCGCAACCAAAGTACATGCCCTTGACCGGAATCGAACCTGGGACCTTTCAGTTCGCAGGCTGAAGCTCTATCCACTGGGCAAAACCGGTCCTGGCTGTCAGTGTTATTTAGATAATCACTAAGTGGGTTGTTTCTGCAGAATATGGGTGCATTATGGCACATTAAAATTTTAATCTTTATTGTTGAAAGTGTTACATATGTCCCCCCTTTCCTCCCCCCAATTGATTCCCTCTACTCCTCCCCTCTCCCAGGCATCATGACAATTTTTAAACAATGGATTTGTGTATTTGTCTTTGAATTAGAAAAAGTACTGCTAATTATACTTTGAGTTTGAATTTTTAATAATTAGGTAAACAAATTAAACATCTTACTTTATAATAGATAACTTTTTGACAGATATTGCCTCAGGCTTATTTAATATTAAACAATTTTAATGTTTTATCAAATTAAAAACACAGGCTATATAGTTACTGGCTTTACATTATTATTACTTTAAAATTATGTTTACTACTTAAAATTGAGAATTTTGAACTGAAGCTATTAACCTTATAATTTGAAAAGTAGATATATTAAATAAGTAGGAATTTCCTGTAGTACAAAAGTCAAGTGGAACAGTGAACTTTACATTTGTATAAAAGTTGTTCTTAACAGTAAGGGCTGTCTAATTATTTGGTTATTTGGAGTAATTTTTATTAGAGATACAGGTGTTTATTGGTGAAGAAGTTCCATGCCATAGAGTAGACAACATTCTAGAGGTCTGATTACTTTTCTATTAATATTAAGGAAACTCTTCTGAAAGCTTTGCTTTTTTTCCTTTCTCTTCTCTAGAATATATAAGGTAAGCCAAGAGCATATTCTATCATATTTCTTTGTTGTTAACCCTCACCGAGGATATTTTTCCATTGATTTGTGGGGACAGTGGGAGAGAGAGGAGAGGGTAAGACAGAGAAACATCGATGTGAGAGAAACACATTGACTGGTTGCCTCCTGTATGAGCCCCACCAGGTACGAGGTACGTGTCTCTGACTGAAATCTGAAATCGAACCCCAGACCCTTTGGTCTGCAGGGCGACACTCCATCCACTGAGCCAACTGACTAGGGCTCTACTATATTTCTTACCAAGTCAACATAGTTGATATGAAGGATGTGATGGGTCTTGGGTAGCACAAAAGCAGCAGGTGGTGGGGATAGCCTTTCTGAGGTACTGTTCTTTTTTTTTTCTTTTTTCTTTTCTTCAAAGTAGCAATATCTTTATTTACAAAATATACAGTTTCACAGAAACAGTCAAAGCCAATGGGAGGGGCCTGCTTTTGGGGAGACATCTTTCCCTCCTCACATCATCAGCCACCAACCAAGAGCCCTAGCTGGGCCATGTGAGGCACTGTTCTTGACCCTCTTTACATGAACTCTTTATACCCTGTACCTACAGTAGGTCAATTACTATTATTACAGGCCACCTTGAAGATTCTTGCTGCAGAAAAATTAGGCAGAACTAATGCTGTCATATAAGAGATCAGCAAATATAGCTGGGCTGCAGGTGATGTGAGGCTCCTCCCCCAACAGGTTTTCTCATTTCTGTAGCTGTGAACTTGAAATAGTGCCTAAAAAAGCTGATGGGTCCGGTCGATTTACTCAGTGGTTGAACGACAGTGCAGGATCTGGTTCAATTCCCCTGTCAGGGAACATGTGTGGGTTTTGGGCTTGATTCCCACTAGGGGCTGTGTAGGAGGCAGCTGATAGGTGAAGTTTCTCTCATTAATGTTTCTATCTCTCCCTTTCCTTTCCAATTTCTCTAAAATAAATAAAAACATTTTAAAAAAACCTTCTGTTGCACCATAATATATGCAGTTTCACAAAACAACAGTATAGTTGAGAAATATTGTTATTTATGCTTTTTGAGATAATACAACTATGTAGTCTTTATGATAGTAAGTTTTTATTTTATTTAAAAAAATTAGATAAATGGACATTTTCAGTAATTACTGGCCTCTGGAACTTAATGGGCACTGAAATGTTTTTATTTGAAAAAGCTGGCCCAGGAACTGACCCTGCTCCTGTTTGTCTTATTCATGGAATCTCTAGTCTTTGAAAATATGGTGTGAGTTTTTCTAAAATCCTCACGTGAGGATGTTTTTTCATTGATTTTTAGAGCGGAGGAGAGAGGGAAAGACAGAGGATTATAAATGTGAGGGAAACATCGATTGGTTGTCTCTTGCACGAGCCCTGGCCCTGGGGAGCCTGCAAACCGAGGTTTGTGACCCCGACTAGAATTGAACCCCGTACTCTTCTGTTCAAAGGCTGACTTTCTATCCACTGAGCCAAAACGGCTAAGGTGGGAATACAATGTCTTTAGTCAAATATAGAATTTCTAGTAAGTATATTGGTGGTTGTTAATATGTAAACTTGATAAATAAGATTCTCATGTAAATGTAAGTCTCACAAGCTTACTTTCCCATTCTGAAAGTAGTGCTTTAATACATTTTCCCATTATGTCAGTTAATTCCACCATGCCAGATGTGCAGTCAGTTTGCACAATGACCAGCCACACTGCCCCACCTTTACCTTTCCCCTACCTTTTTGCAAAATTGCACCTTCTTCCCCCCCACAATCAGATTTCCTCTGGGCAGATAGTACTTGTTCAACCTTGTGTTCTCCAGCCTCTTAGTGTAGTGCCCGAGGGGTTTCCATGGAGCCTCCCAGTCCTTCCAAACGGGACCGGTCAGTTTTT